ATATTGATAACAAATAACGTTTTCGATGGTAACAGACGACTGGAAAACTATTCAAGATTCTGAACTTGCATTCAAATTGCGACTGTTTGCAGTGTAGAAGTAGAAAAAATTGGATGACAGAATATAATAAAGAAACGCAGCATAAGAATCTTCTTTTCTTGTTACACTTACTGCTGTCACTACTGTTCGACTCGTTGCCTTAGTTGTTAGTGCTCCAAAATTGCAATGGACTTATTAAATTTGTATTTCGATCAAGTCGAGTTCTTCATCTTGCAGCTGTTGCTGCTCCAGCTTCTGCCACTTCTACTGCGATTTTCTTTTTCCTACTACACCTGTCACTATTGCAACTCCTTCCCCTATTGCTCATCTTCCTGTTGCACTTGCTGATGATACAACAATGAAATTAAGTAACTTTTCCGAGTGAAGCAACTAAGCCTTTTATCTTGCTGCCATTAATGCTTAAATCGTCGCTGCTACAGCTGTCCCTCTCGCTACCACAAGCAATGCTCTTCCTGCTGCTGCAACTCTTGCTATCGCTGCTATTTCTGCTGCTGTAGCTTTTGTTCCTGTTCTTTATGTTGCCGATACAGCCACTGCTGTATCTACTGCAGCTGTTGTTCCTCTTGCTGTTGCAACTATTACTGATCGTAATGCAGCTTTTGTTGTTGCTGCTGTATCGTGAATAAAGAGGTGTATAAACGAACATGGGTGCTTAGCTTCTATTCTCTCTGATTATCCTGGGAGGATTTTTTTATTTTAACATTTGTTAGAATTGAACAAAAGCTATGCATTTAGCCCGCATTCAAAAATTGCTGACAGTAATTCAAAATACTCACCAAGTGTTTCAGAAAAGACATTTGAGTAAATGATTGTACTGGAAAACTTTGAAGAACCACCTCTGACAACACCAGAAATGACTCCAGTGATTTAACGCAACGTCGGTGGAAACTTTGTTAAAGAAGTTCAGAAGTTAGAAAAAAGGTATTACCTATTACTGCTTTCTTTTGCAACGTCGTCGTAAAACTGATGCGCATACCTTCGTTTTTTGGTCAATTCTGCCCCTATTTACGTTAACCGGCCAAAGTCATCTACGCCTTCTGTTCTGACTCAACAAAAGCAGAAGAAAAACGTACGAAATTCTACTGCCAACTTCTCCATCCATTCCTTTTTTTAAAACTAAATCTAACGGCTTTCTGCAACAAAACCTAGAGCAGAAAATGTGAGAAAATATAACTTTAAAAACTTGACAAAGAAGACAAACACGAGTAAAATTTGTTTTTTTGGTTCAACAGTATTTATGCAAATTATCATCAATCCTGGTTTGACTGGTGAGTATTAGACAAATGATACACGTCAAACATACTGTAAAATGCAACGACAGAAGGAAGAATAGCAACGACAAGTTCCAAAAAATTTTTTGACGTTATCAAGTTTAAAGTACAAAAAAACTCCAGTGTAATGATTTTTGGTCTTGAAAAACAGCTTCTCTCTTTCTTCCAAAACATTCTTCACTGATTAAGAATCTTTCTCAGAAGAATCTAAGAATTAAAAACCTAAAGATTTAGCTCAAAGACAAAAAGCAGCACTTTTTAGCCAAAATATACAAAGCTCACGGGGCAAAAAAATGCATTCCTACCTCGAAAAACTTAAATATAAAATTTAAACCTGTAGAAAATCAGATCAGTCTGTGAGCAATATTTTTAGTTTAGATTCAATTTTTATAAAATCCAAGTTCATTAAAGAAAACGAGTGGCAAGAGAATTCTTATCTCGTCATGAAAATACACGCTGCTGTTTCCAAAAACTTCACTGTGAAGACAATAATTGAGTTTCCCATTTGCAATGACGAAGTCCTAACTATTAATTCTATACTAATACTTATTTTATGATAACAAAGTTTACAATTTCGTACAACAAGAGCACTACTATGACCATAAATAATTTCTTTCGCCCAGTTCTCCAAATTAAAACAGAACTATTGCCATCACAAAACAACTAGAAATTTTGACAAACAGTGAACGAAATTGTTAGAATTACTGCACTGATGTGCAGAAGAAAATCCAACTGCTTTTCAGCATTTTTAAGAGTGTCAAGTTCAAAACAAAAACAGCTTTTTTGCTAGTAAAAATAGATTTTTTAATGACCTGCTACCTGGGAAATTAGGTAAAAATTTGCCTCGAGTAATATCAAAATAAATTTATCAAGGAGGTTCCAGAATAGAATATGTAAAGTCAGATAACCAATCATCGTTTACTTCTTCATTATAACTTTGGTAAAATTTGTCGAGAAAGATAGTATCTATCAAGACTCATGGGAGCGCGTACTGCAATTCTAAGATACCAACTTTCCAAATTAACTGTCTCTCCCCTTGATCAACGCCACCAACTCTAGCAAGCCTAAAGAATCAAAAGTTTAGATCCTGCAAGGTTTTTTATGGCTAACTGAAACAAGTGAAAACTGGAGGGAATTTTGCAAGCGTTGGACACTTTGCAACAGAAAATCACTTGTACTTGGAAACAAAATAACTTCAGTAAAACACCATATATCCAACATTCCTCCCCTTATGTATCTATAGCCATTACCTGTTCATGTTTACTTTCCCACTAATAGTTAACGACTGTGGAGCTGCTGTCAGCCTAGCAGATGGTGAACGGTTTAAAGAAAAGTTCCAAGTTTCTCATCACTGCCAGTCCACAAAGTCTAATTTGATCTTTGATCACAAGATTCTGGTTAAGGCGACCTTCGGTCTTTGCTTATCCTACTTTGAATCAAACCACTTTGAAAACCAAAACCTCAAACCCTTTTCTAATTCTAGAAAAAGGCCCGATTTTTGAGAGATTAAGAAAATGACACCCATAGAAATGTGCATTTCTTACCAGTTTTTGAGTACTTACTGAGTTAAAAATAACAGCTCAAATGTCAAAAACGATATAATAGATAGAAGAGATCCTCCAACTACTGTCACGAAGCTAAAGCTAATTACTCCCATTCTCAAATATTAGTAAAGCTTAGAGAACCTGCTGCATTATACCAAACTAACGTGAACTTTGCTGCTTCTCATCTCTTTAAAAAGTTTTGGACTTTTCAAAAGATCAAACTGTCCCTGTGAATAATTCCATGGCTTTTTACCCTCCTCCGTGTTTCATGGCCGTACAAGTTTAAAAAATTTGCGGTCCATCCAAACGCATTCCTGTGCAGCGCCATTGCAGAACCCAAGAATTCCAAAATCCTCTCAGAAACTTTTGCCTCTTCGTGCTTCCCTTGTCCCTTCCATTGTGCACTTGAAATTTCTTGACAAACCCTACATAACAGGCCATCGAACCGACCACAGCTCAGGCTCTACTTTCTTCCCCTCCGACTAAAATAAGCGACATTTTTCAAGGGGGGTCTACCGAAAGTGAAAGAAGCAAGAATGTAAATGATACAGAATAAAAAGAACAGATGCAGAAAGACCGAAGATTTTCAAATAAAATACCCCGTCCTGTTCTTAATTAGTTTTGCCAACAGAAAAACCACCCAATACAAGGGGGAAATTTCTTTCAGAAAATTAGAAAGAAGCAAACACACAGATTCGCAATTGCTGTATGCGACTCAAACTGGCTTAAGAACCTAGTATACAAAAATTGAAGACAGGCCATTTAAAAAAAAAAGTGAAGTTTGAAATTGGGCAAGCTCAACCGCAATATCGTCATAGCTCGTTCAGGATAAAATCAAAGTAGATTTCGTCTAAGAGGAATTAAAATAAAGCGGTCAATAAAACACAAAAAATCGTCGGTAGCACCTACATCAGTTCAAGGTAACGATCAGGGTTTA